ATCAACCTCGAGGGCCTTTCCACCTATTCCTTCATGGATGTGGAGGGTGGCGCCAGCGCTGATGAGGAGGGCAAGGAGGATGGGGACACCGGCAAGGTTGACGTGGACCAGCTGTCGGCTGACGAAGAAACGCTGAAGATGGACATCCCGGACGGGTTTCGACTCCAGGCGTCTCCACCACCGGCCTTCGATCAGTCGATAGTGAAGCGTGGGGTTCTCGTGAAACTCGGGTTGGGTTGGTTCGGAAATCTCACCCCGCTTCGCGGCAGGAGTACGACTATCGCGTCATCCTGCACTGTGACGAAAGGACGCGTAGCATGAAGATGCCGTTGGAGTCGTACAGCACGGATAAAGACGCCGCAATTGGGGCGTGGGTTCTCCTAGAGGTAGACCCAAAGGAAGGGAGCGGGAGGCGCAAAAGGGTGACAACCCCCAATGTTCGCCTCACGGAGCTTGCAACATAACGACGGGGTAGTTTTCGTTGTTGGCACGTCAGCGTGCGGGTGAGGCATCATGCGGTGTTTATGTATTTGTTTAGTTTCAGCCCTCACTCATGAGGGGGGTACAGGACCTTGTAGCGATAGCGAGACGTTGCCGCTGGATACATTTCGCTTCTAGGGAGTGGCCTTACGTGCAGCCGTCGGTAGTGAGAATCGGGGTTAAGTATGGAGGTCGAGGAAAGCAGTGCAAATCATTTGTATATTTGGAACGTTGTGTAGTATGCAAGCGGAGAAATAAGAAATTGCCGATTTAAGAAATTCAGCAGGACTTGGCTGCACGAAAAAATAAGAAATTTGAAACAAGAAATTGAACGACATACGCTGAGTTTATAGCCCACAACAAGAATTCGAGGCTGGACCTGAAATAAGCGTTTCTTAAGTGCGGGCGCCAACTGTATCACCCCCCCTGGACCGACTCGATAATTCCACGACGAAGAGGACGAAGCCTGTAGTAATCAAATGATGGGTTTTCGAGAAGATATCGACGAGAGGGTTCCAACTCTACTTTTATCGGCAACGTCTCTACTCTTGTTGCCGTGTAATCGAGCTTTGAAAATCGACACTAAAGGGGCATGGTATGTTACGCAGCGTATCACAGCCAAACATGTGTGTACGGTGTATGCGATTGTTGTATGCGTGTGCATCTTCATGTGCGCGGTCATGCGTGCTGGTGGCTGCTGTAGAGATGCCATTTCCTGGATTCGGAAAGTGAGGATATCGATACTCGCGCTGCCCTGTTCAGCACTACAACCAACGCTACCCCTACACCGATCAACTCCTCGGCATCATTTTGCTTCCCTCCCGTGTGTTAGTATCATACAGTCAGCCTCTGTACGTATAGTCTACACATCTCTGCCTTATTTCGGCGCACAGTCCGTCGTCTGTGTTGCAAGTTGCAGTAGGTTCTTGCTCGCAGGATTTCAAGCATACGATTGTGCGTGTGGAGCGAGCAGACAACGAAGACTAAGTTGCTACAGCAGTACCTATCTAACATCGCCGTTTTCTCGTCCCGAGGCTCACCATGTACTTGTCCATCCAGGGCCCATACGCTCTGGTCTGGAGCTGCTTTCCATACTTCATACTTCCGTAGTGCGTCTCCCCGCGGCCGGATCTACAGCAGCAGCTGTGGACTGCTGCTGCTCCTCACCACCACCACCGCCTGTGCCTCCTCACACACCCGCCTGTTCGATCCAGCACCACACGCTATCCGATAGCAGAGTCGGTACCTATTAGGACAGCGACCCACGCACGAGCACGGGTTTCTTCGTGAGTCGTGGGCGCGTGATCGTGAGTGTTTTTATTATTAGCATCGTGAGTGTGTGTGCTGGGCGCGCGGGACGCATCTTAGATTCCGTATTCCATCGTCATGAACTGCTGTAGCATGCATGCGGCGTAGAAATTACGCTATAAATAAGTAGGCATACATGTATGCATACGACACAAGTACTGCAGGCGGGTATCACTATCCCCCAAACCTCTCGCTGCAAAGTAGTGATCTTCCAAGATAAAACTCCAGGTGCCCGGGAGTACGGAAGACAAGACAGCAGAAGGTATACACAAACCGGTCGCCCCGGTGGTCCAGTGGGTACCGTAGGTTGCATAAGTTTAAGTTATCACACTTTCGTCAGATACCACACCCCCTCAGAAAACGTTCCACACAATACCACACCGGTGCTATTTTTTTCAACCCCGAAAAAACTTTATTTTGTAGGCCTTTGCTCCATCGGCCGTTTTGTTTGAATGACGGGGAACAAGAAGGTGAAATTACTTGAAATTAGTCTGGAAATAAAGTTTGTGTATCTAAATCGAATAAAAAACGGCCGATGGAGCAAAGGCTTAAAAAAAGCGTCATTATATCACACGGTGACATAAGATACCACATCCCCTTGAGTTGGACCGCATATCGACGGAGCCCCCGCTTATCACACGGTGTTACAACGTCAGGGCATGAGATCACAAGCAACAATCTACTCGTAAAGGCCGTGGAGGCCAACAATGCCGTGGAGGGTGGTGCAGTTAGCAACCCTGCTGAAAGCCCCGCGGCTCAGACTGCAGTGGGTAAGACTCCAGCGGTGGCCCAACGCTCCATAGCGTCCTTCTTTCAACCCGCCCCGCGGCAACGTGGGGCTGCTGGGACGACTTCTTCCTCAGTAGCCGCGCACGACACCGCACGTACTGCTGAGGCCCGCCCAACGAATCTACCGCTGCTGAGACTGCCACAGCATCGGCTGCACCTGCCACCGTGGGTGACGGTGCCGCTTAAACCTGCGAAGCAGAACCTACTGCTGAGACTCCCTCAGCACCCACACCCGCACGCGAAGAGGCAGCTCTCCCGCCAACCACCAACACCCCGAGCGCGGCTACTGCTGAGAACCCTGCAGCAGCACCGCGCTGCGAACAACCATCGTGTACCAACAAGCCCTGTTATCACACCCTCTTGAAGCCGGGTGCTGTGAGCGCGCTTCATTACACGGGCGACGGTATCACACCCCCTTGTTGGTGGGGCTCGTGAGTGCACTTCATCACACTGGTGACATAAGATATCACACCCCCTACAGAATTCCACACCCATGTGATAAGTTTTGTCCCCCCGAAAATGTTATCACGCGGGTGTGGTATCTTATGCAACCAACGGTAGCCTCGCAGCCTGCTAAGGGCCAGGTCATGGGTTCGAGTCCCGACAGAGTGAGTTTTTTCTCGCCAATTAAATCCTGGTCTCCGTTGGAAGCGACGCGCTGCAAAGCTCGTTGTTAGTAAACTTGGACTTCATAAGTCGCGAGGGAAGGGATTGCTGTACCCTTCTCGCGATAAAAATATCTCAGGCAGGAACCGCAGGAGGGTGTCCAACCCCCCCCTCTTGTGTGACCCCAGTTGGGTCGCCTAGCTGGTAGAAGTGGGGGTTAGGGGGCAGAGGGGCAGACGACAGAGTCCAATGATGGGGGAAATGATGGGAGAAGAAAACAAGAAATAACAGGTCATGGGTTCGGTTCCGGCAGAGCGAGTTTTAAAACTCGCTCATTTTTCTCGCTAACTAATTAAATCCTGATCTCCGTTAGAGGCGACGCGCTGCACAGCTCGTTGTTAGTAAACTTCATCGACTTCATAAGTCGCGAGGGAAGGGATTGCTGCACCCCTCTCGCGACAAAAGTATCTCAGGCAGGAACCGCAGGAGGGAGTCCAACCCGCCCCTTCTATGTGACCCCAGTTGGGTCGTCTAGCTGGTAGAAGTGGAGGATAGGGGCCAGAGGGGCAGACGACAGAGTCCCATGATGGGAGAAAAGAAAAGAAAAGAAATAGAGTAGTCCTGCTTTGCTGTGTGTGTGCCTCGCGCCCGTTGATTTTCTATTTTCGCAATGATTTGATGAAAAGACGACTTTTGCACTAAATGTCGATACGCCGCGGTCAGCAGCTCTGTGCACGGTTGGTCTCCCGCAGCGTGTGCACTTGAAGTGTGAAGCGGGGCGCATTGACTTGCTGATTGTTTGACGCAATTCCCGCACGATTGAAGCACAATAACTGCAATGTCCTGTCCTTACTCACGCCGTCGGCGAGCTGCTCTGACACACCCAGCCCGGGTACATAAACTTTGAGCCTAACCAAGTAAATGGTCAATGAAGCCTGGCGCCAGAACATGTAGACGGGCATACATGAGCAAAACACAGCGTACTGTTAAGTACTACAGCTTCGAATTCCGACAAGAACAACACCATCAGCACCTTCGAAAAGGTTCGATAGATAGAGGACTTTCCTCTCATCTTGACGAATATTGGATGCTGCGCCGTTTCGGTGTAGATACAGGAGTGTAGCTCTTCGTCGTGAAAATTGCGACCATCAAAACGCTTATGATTTGAACAGCTTTCACGAAAGGCCGGCTGCTCGCAAACGTACACTTGGTGTAGTCTACAGCAGTAGACTTAGTAGACTTGAGTAAAACGCGGGCGACGGAAACAACAAGTGCGTGCTACCCCTTGTTGTAAAACTTCACGTGCAAGCGCAGTCCTTAAAGCCAAGCGGCGGACCCGATTCGTCTTTCTCCCCGTCTGCAACCATCGTGTCCTTCGGGATCCGGGGGGGGTACTCATGTTTTGCCTGCCTTAGCGGTTCGACGATTGGGGGGGGGGGGGGCACAGGCCCCACCCTCCCCAATGTCCCGGTATTGCAAGATCAGGGGTGCGCGTAGGCTGGGTAGGTGATAAAAACTGAAAACGATTCACCCATGAGCCGACCAAAAAAGACAAGTCACGAAAACCTCTAACGCAACCGCAACAGAACGTCGACGAACAAGCAAAAATACTTCACTGGTTCTCATGCTCTTGGCCTGTGATTTTACTTGTTCGCTCGGGCGTTTGCCTTTGTCTCCTCTTCCCACAACTAACTACTACTCTCGTCACCCGATGCTGCTGCTGTGTCCTCTCTGTCCTGCTACCTAGCGCTCCTAGCGACCGCCAACCAAACACCGATGCAGAAGGCGACGCAAACACCAACAACACAACAGCAGTCACCTGGTCCCGTGAGAACCTGGCATACTCCGTCCCGGCTTTGTAGGGATGCGAGNCACGACTATGAGTATCCCCCCCCCCCCGTCGGTCAACCTGCCTTGGGGTCGCCGCGAACACTAATAGCCAACGAGTTGGGTCGGGCAAGGGCTAAAGAACACGGTTAACGCAAAAGACACACGAAAAAGAAGAAAGGGCAAACCTATCGCGCACGTCAGGGAGGGTTATTTCGACCCATGTTTATTCTCTTCCCAAGCCTTCGTCGAACCCCGACGCCAAGCTCTGCACTTTCAAGTCCATCCTTGATCAACGCATCCGATCGCATGTATTTAACGTTTACATGTCGTGCTTGATGCACGTATTCTCCCCCTTTCCAAAGCCAAAGCACTGTGGGATACGATGAATACATGTGTCGAGAGGACAAAAAAAAAGCAACTTTCGCCGTCCCGAGCATGAACCCAAGACCTCTCCATAATCTGACGGCCGCCCGCGGAGATAGATTAAAAGGCCGCTAAACATCCAAACGAAAACCGTTATCTAAAGTTGCAGGCTAAACAGGCAGGACGCTCAGCACAACATCAAGCGGCGGCGAGCGGTCGCACCCCTGCGCGAAACATCGCATCACCGAGATAGGTCGCTGCTGACACCACACACCGGGCTTCTGCCTTGCACGCTAAGCTTCGCTATCACCGCCGCCGCCCCCTGGCGTCGCCCCACATCACCCCGGCACGAGCGGCTTCATGCTCTGCTGCATACCCTCGCCGACCTCGTGACCCCCTACCGTCAGTTCAACGCTCGCTGCCCGAGCGGTCCCGCCAGCGAGCAGCAGCAGCCCAGCCAATGTACGCCCCCGAAAACTGAACAGGGGCCCAAGACCCGACCGGCCGCCCGCACGCCCTCACGATGGAACTCCCATGACGTGCAAACTCAGGCATCATCCAAAGGGCCTTCCTGCCCTCCCGCCCTTGGACGCCGCGGCCTCCTTGTAGTCTGAACACGCCACAACAACCAAGCAGCAACACACACAAACAGCAACAATACAAGGGACAGCAGTGATAGTGTGGGCGTGTGGAAGTACGCCGTGGGGACAACGCGGCCCCCTGACGTGACGACTTTCGGAGGCACGTTCCTCATTCTAAAAAGGCGCGTGTGAGACGGGGGTGCTTGTACGACCAAGGACGAAAATACAAGACCTCGAGATCACACAACAAAATCTAGATTCGATGTACAGCAGCAACAGGACGAAAAGAAGGATTAAGGAAGGTAGCTTCGCTGACACCCCGACGGGCACCGGTAGTTAAATGCGAACGTATGTGGCTGTCATCACGCCAACTTGCCGTGCGGCCCTGCTGTGGTGGAGACGACGCATGCCAACGCAACGCAGGCACGCAGCCAGACCTGCGATCAAGAGTCGAGGTGATCTAACACATCGAGGGATACGTTTTTGCGTGTGTCCGAGCTCAACTCAACAGGACATACGACGCCCCAGCAAGCGCCTACGTGTGCTGCAGGAGTGTTCCGCTAAAGGTTAAGGCATCCAAGCTCAAATCTTGACGGAAAAAGAAACAAAGACAGAGTAAAGGAACACGGCTAGCCAAGCCTTGGATCCCACACAACACTCTATCGAACAATCACCTGTTCTCAACGGTTTCGACGAATTCTTTTTGAAGAAATTGAACCCCAGACCCGAATGGTATTCGACGTGTCTTCTTTTAGCAATTGCGGGCCCTTTTGTTTGACCGAACGATTCTTACTCACCCAGCATCGCGTCCACGCGCTCGAGCTGCTGGATACCCTCGTTAGGCAGTGCCTGTTCTGCCCTCTCCTTAAGCTGCGGGTTGGCGACCAATTCTACGGCGGCCTCCGTGCGCTCCAGCTGACGATGGGATCAGGAAGGTCAGCGCAAGTGTGGGCGAAAGAGAGAGAAAAAAAAATGGGGCAATGCACAGGTGGCGAGAGAAACTTCTGTGTGAAAGGAGCTGAAAAAACTTATCAGAGCCGAAGAACTAGAAGGAGCGTGAGTTTTCCCTGCCCGGGGACGCTTGGTGTGGAATTGTTCTTCAACCTAGACGAGCACTAACCCTCCCACTTACAAGTGCTCATCAGGAAAAACAAACTACTCCGTGGGCTCTTGATTAACCTCAACTGCAATGCCCGGGCTTTGCAGGCAACGCTTGTGCATATACTCGGCGCATTGACGTGCATTTCCAAAAAACTACAAGGAGCTCGGGGATGACTCTCAGCCTGGCCGTGGCCCGGGCAGTCGACACTTCTACTGCTGCCGCTCCCTGCAACAAGACAAGCACCGCGTAAGCGCCGCGAAGAAGAACCGAGCACACACTGACCTGTGCCCCAATGCGCAACGGCTTGCTGACGCCGTACCCCGTCAGGCTCTCCGCGTCGAGCGTGGCCGCCTTCCCGTCAGGGTCGATCTCTACGGCCAGCCCGATGTCCTCCTTCGAACGGCTGTCTAGCCTCCACGCGTCCTATATGTAGCGCGATAAGATCAAAGCGGGCGATGACATGTAATCAAGTGCTTTGGCAGCGGAACCCAGCTCATTCTTTTCGATGAGGGGCACGGGGGCATTTGGCGTGGGCGACGAAAGAACCTGCAAAGGAGGTCGCAGTAGCGCCGGCACCTACCTCCACAGGGACAGCAACGTTACAGCAACGGTACCTTCCACCGACACACCGGCGGAACACCACCACGAGCACCAATCACGAATCATCTCTTCGCCTTTCTTCCTCTTCCTCGGTCTCGCGTTCGATGGCAAGGCCAACTCGCCACCAGACGACGCCGGCATAACAAGAACAAGAACAACACCACCACCACCAAAAACAACAACGTCACCCACGACGCACACCAAGAGCCAAGTTACCCGACACTAACCACTTCCTCCCCCCCCCCCCCCCCCCCCCCCCCCCCCCCCCCCCCCCCCCCCCCCCCCCCCCCCCCCCCCCCCCCCCCCCCCCC